AAAATAAAATAACTAAGAGTTAAAATTGGAAACATTGTTTACTCTAAGCCAGGTACTATGATGTTTTTGTTTGCATCATCTCATTTAGTTTAGATTCTCATAATAATTCTATGTAGGGAGATACTCTTATTTTCATTTTTATAGATAGGAAACGGAAGCATAAAAAGGGTTAGTTACTTGCCCAAGGCCACGAAGCTAGTAACCAGCCTTTGAGCAGAGGGCTTTCTTAACCATGTGGTTAATTTTTTTTTTTTTAAAGATTTTATTGGGGAATTGGGGAAGGGGAACAGCCAAGTTGTTGTCCATCAATCTTAGCTGTGGAGGGTGCAGCTAGCTCAGCTCCAAGTCTGTCGCCATCTGACTGCCTGTTGGCAGCTTGTGGCCGCTCAGCTCAAGGTGCCGTGTTCAATCTTAGTTGCTGGTGGGCATAGCCCACTATCCCATGTGAGAGTCTAGCCGGTAACCTTGTTGTTAGGAGCACGTACATGCTCTCACCAGCTGAGCCATCCCTGCCACCTGTTGGCAGCTCAGTGTAAACTCAGCTTGGGCACAGCTCTCTGGCCCATGAGGGAATTGAACTGGAACCTGTTGCTCAGAGCTTGCGCTCTTAACCAACTGAGCCACTTGGCTGGCCTTGGTTAATTTTTCTAATGACTATTACTTTGAGGTAGTTGTTGCATAGTTGTGATGACGACAATATGGCACACCTACTCTTCTGTCATTCTGATTCACAGAGTGAACTTTAATCTCCTTGAAACAGAAGATGTTACAAAATATAAATGAATCAGAGTTATCATCTCTTATTAATTCAGCATAGTTCCTTGCTAAGAATCTCTGATACTTGTCTTGTGAATATCAAGAATATTCTAGATAGCCAAGAACCAGGAAGTGCAATCAAAAGAGGCCCGAAGCATAGTAGCTGCTACAAAATCGGATCAAGGTTGGTAGGAGGGACTACTAGATGCCAATACAATGATGACCAAGAAAAGAATACCTGACAGTGTGGGAAAAGTTTAATAGTCACACAAGGCCTTACACCTTAGCTACTGAGGGCATTTCCTTATATCAGCATATCACTAATATCACCAATATAATAGTATTAGTTGTTTATACTAATGACTTAGAGCCATCAGGTAAGGATTGGGCACTTTTACTTTATTCTAATAAGAAATTATATCATTTTAGAAATATTTACATCAGTAACAATAGAAAACAGTAGTAAACAGTGAGCTTTAGTAGATTAGGAAAATTCACATTTGCCAAAAACCTTGATTATTTCAACTAAATGAAATATGATTGCAGCAACAACGGGGTGTTCTGAAGTGAATAGTTTGTAACAGCAGTTGCCTTAATAATATGTTTAATTACTATAGCAGAGGCATGGAACATTTGAAGCTGCAAATAATCCCAAACCCACTTCATTTTGACTTTCGATATATATTGAATTCATGCTGGATGCCACATCTCCCTTCAGGAGTGATTGCATTTCCCCGATTGCTGCCACAGAAAAACTTTATAAAAAAGTCATCCATCCTTGTTCTCACCATTCTTCCATTTCTGTTTCCCTTTCTCTTTCATTTACTTTTGTGCCTGTGTTTGGTTATTGTTTTTGCTCTTGTTTTACAGCCAGTATTTGTTGAGATTTACCAAAATGTTTACCTTTTTCTTTGTTCGTCTTTCTTTATATCCTAGACCTTCTTTTGGGGTCATTTTCTTTAAGGTCATACGTTAGAAGTTCATTTATTGAGGGCTCATTAATAATAAACTTACTGTTATTTTGCAAGTGTCCTTACTTTGCTCTTGATCTTGAAAGATTTTCACTGGATGTGAAATTCTAGCTTGGCAATTTATCATCATTTTCAAGGTCGTTTTTCATTGTCTTCTGTCGCTGTTGAAAATCAGTCAGTTTAAATGTTGATTCTTTATAGGTAATCCAGTGTTTTGTAGCTCCTTTTAAGATCTTCTCTTTGAGTTTGTGGTTCTAAAATTCACTATGATGAAACCAGGTTTTCTCTTCTTGCTGTATTTCCAGTTTGGGATTCACAGAGATACCTGGATATGAGGATTGGTATCTTTTTTTTTTTTAGCTGAGCCATCCTGCCACCTGTTGGCAGCTCAGCTCGGGCCAGGAATCGAACCGGCGACCCTGTTGCTCAGAGCTCACACTCTTGAGGGAGCTCTTAACCAACTGAGCCACTCGGCCGGCCTCGAGGATTGGTATCTTTTATCAATTTAAAAATTCTCTTAGAAGATTGTCTTTGCCCTGTGTTTTCTTCATCTCCTTCCCTTCCTTCTCTTCCTCCTTCTCTTCTTTCTCCTCTTCCCCCTCCTCGTTTCTTGCTCGAATTTGATCAGCTACACTTTCAAGCTTTTAATCTATCCTACTTGTCTGGTACTCATTTATATTTAACACATCTTAGTCTCTCTGGATTTACTCTGTATAATTTCTTCAAGTCTCTTTTATAGTTCCATTTTTCTTTCTTAGCTTTGTCTAATCTGCTGTTTAACTGCCCTTTGAGTCTTTTTTAAAAATCATTTTTATTGTGAAATAAAACACATTAGAAAAGTGCCTGAAACAAAAATAAACAGTGAAATGATTTATCTAAAGAGAACAGCTTGTATCCAGAAAGTAGGTCAAGAAACAGAAGATTGCTGGTACCCCAGAAGCTCCCCTTGTGCGCCCTTGTAATCATTGTCACCCCCTACCAAGGGTTGCCATTATCCTGAAAGAAAAACTTTGTTTTTCTCTATACTTTTACTACTCAAGTATGCACTATAATTTACTTTTGCCTGTTTTTAAAATTTAATGTAAATGAAATAATCAAGTATGTATTCTTTTTTATCTGGCTTCTTTTGCTCAACTTTGTGAGATTTTCCTATGTTGTATGTGACTATGACTCATTGCCACGGACATTGTATAAGAATATCACAATTTATTCATCTATTCTAATATTGATGGACATTTGGGTTGTTTGCAGTTTGGGACTCTTACAAAGAATGCTGCAATGAATACATGCACTCGTTATTATTGGGCATGCGTGTGTATGAATGGAATCCTGGGTCATCGAGTTTGTATATGTATCTTTACATTTTGAAGATAATGCCAAACTATTTCCATGGTGGTTTTAACCAATTTACCCTCTCATCAGTAGTGTATGAGTATACTCATTGTTTCCACCTGTTTTCAGAGATGGTTCTACTAATTTAACCTCCCACCGAGACTGTATGAAACTTGCCTTTCTCTTGCATCCTCATCAATACTGTCAGATTTTTTCCATCTTTTTTTTTTTTTTTTTTTTTTTTTT